CTCACCCATCCCCCCCACCCCCCCACGGGCATCCTGAGGTGTCCGGGGGTCCCAGGGGACCCTCTGAGCCCCAGCCACGCCCCTCCCCCTCTCAGGGCACCCCCTGCCATGAGGAGGGGGCTGTGCCCCCCCCGCGGGCCCACGTCACCCCCGGGCACACCTGGGCAGGTCGGGGCGTGCCCCACCCCCACCCCCACCCGGGGGGGTCACGGGGGGGAGGGGCTGAGTCACGGGGTGGGGGAGGGGAGGTGAGATCCCAAAATCGCTTTATTGGCCAATAAATAAACCCCAACCCCCCCCGGGGGACACTGCGGGGATGGGGACACGGTGGGGACAAGGCCACCTCCAGGGAGTCATGGCCACCACCCAGGATGAGGCTCCCACAGGGTTGGGGACACCTGGGGACAAGGCCAGCACAGGGCATGGTGACACTGCTGGAGCCAGGAGCGCCATGGGGTGGGGGCTACTGCCACCACGGCCAATGTCACCGAGGGGTCAGGGCCACCACAGTGCTGGAGTCACCCACAGGGTCAGGGCCACCACGAGGTCCAGGGCTGCGATGACACTGGGGACACTGCGGTGTCAAGGCCACCCCTGGGGTCAGTGCTATTCCTGGTGGTGAAGTCACCACTGCTGTCAAGGTCTCTGCACTGTCCCCGGTGTCCCCAGTGTCCCCTTGTCTCCCCAGCATCTCTGGTGTCCCCAGTGTCCCCTTGTCTCCAGAGTCTCTGGTGTCCTCACTGTCCTCAGTGTCCCTGGTGTTCCTGGTGTCCCCAGTGTCCTGGGTGTCCCCAGTGTCTCCTTGTCTCCAGAATCTCAGGTGTGCCCAGTGTCCCCATGTCTCCAGTGTCTGTAGTGTCCTCAGTGTCCCTGGTGTCCCCATCTATCCAGAGTCTCTGGTGTCCCCGGTGTCCCTGGTGTCCCCATGTAACTCCAGCACCTCTGGTGTCCCCGGTGTCCCAATGCCTCCAGAGTCTCTGGTGTCCCCAGTGTCCTGGGTGTCCCAATGCCTCTCTGGTGTCCCCATGTCCCCACCATGTCCCCAAGTCCCCGCTGTCACCGCTCCCTCACCCATCCCCCCCACCCCCCCACGGGCATCCTGAGGTGTCCGGGGGTCCCAGGGGACCCTCTGAGCCCCAGCCACGCCCCTCCCCCTCTCAGGGCACCCCCTGCCATGAGGAGGGGGCTGTGCCCCCCCCGCGGGCCCACGTCACCCCCGGGCACACCTGGGCAGGTCGGGGCGTGCCCCACCCCCACCCCCACCCGGGGGGGTCACGGGGGGGAGGGGCTGAGTCACGGGGTGGGGGAGGGGAGGTGAGATCCCAAAATCGCTTTATTGGCCAATAAATAAACCCCAACCCCCCCCGGGGGACACTGCGGGGATGGGGACACGGTGGGGACAAGGCCACCTCCAGGGAGTCATGGCCACCACCCAGGATGAGGCTCCCACAGGGTTGGGGACACCTGGGGACAAGGCCAGCACAGGGCATGGTGACACTGCTGGAGCCAGGAGCGCCATGGGGTGGGGGCTACTGCCACCACGGCCAATGTCACCGAGGGGTCAGGGCCACCACAGTGCTGGAGTCACCCACAGGGTCAGGGCCACCACGAGGTCCAGGGCTGCGATGACACTGGGGACACTGCGGTGTCAAGGCCACCCCTGGGGTCAGTGCCATTCCTGGTGGTGAAGTCACCGCTGCGGTCAAGGTCTCTGCACTGTCCCCGGTGTCCCCAGTGTCCCCTTGTCTCCCCAGCATCTCTGGTGTCCCCAGTGTCCCCTTGTCTCCAGAGTCTCTGGTGTCCTCACTGTCCTCAGTGTCCCTGGTGTTCCTGGTGTCCCCAGTGTCCTGCGTGTCCCCAGTATCTCCTTGTCTCCAGAATCTCTGGTGTGCCCAGTGTCCCCATGTCTCCAGTGTCTGTAGTGTCCTCAGTGTCCCTGGTGTCCCCATCTATCCAGAGTCTCTGGTGTCCCCGGTGTCCCTGGTGTCCCCATGTAACTCCAGCACCTCTGGTGTCCCCGGTGTCCCAATGCCTCCAGAGTCTCTGGTGTCCCCAGTGTCCTGGGTGTCCCAATGCCTCTCTGGTGTCCCCATGTCCCCACCATGTCCCCAAGTCCCCGCTGTCACCGCTCCAGGAAGCGCAGGCTGATGGGGGCGCCGGGGGCCAGCAGGGTGCGGGTCATGGGGCGCACGCGGCCCCCCCCGGGCTCCGGCCGCACCTCGAAGCGCAGCAGGATCTGTGGGAGCAGGGACGGGTGAGTGACACCGTGGGGACACTGTGGGGACACCGCGGGGACACGGAACACCCACCTGTGCCAGCGCCATGTGCAGCTGCAGCTCGGCCAGGCGGCGCCCGACGCAGCTGCGCGGGCCGAGGCCGAAGGGCAGAGAGGCAAAGGGGTGCCTGGGGCCGGGGGGGTCCCCGGGGGTGTCCCCAGTGGTGTCCCCAGCAGTGTCCCCAGCGGTGTCCCCGGTGTCCCCGTGGCGCAGCCAGCGCTCCGGGCGGAAGGTGTCGGGCGCCGGGAAGAAGCGGCTGTCACGGGACGTGGCGTAATGGCACAGGGTGATGAGGGTCTGCAGGGACACGGGGTCAGCGGGGACACCCTGGGGACACCCTGGGGACACCTTGGGGACACCGGGAGCCCTGGGGGGCGGGGTGTCCCCCCGGCTCACCTGGCGTGGCACCAGGTAGTCGCCGACGCGGATGTCGCACTCGGGGACGACGCGGGCGTTGGCCGGGATGACGGGGTACAGCCTGCAGGGGGGACAGCCGGTGTCACCTCCCTGTCCCTGTCCCCATCCCTGACCTCGGCCTGTCCCCACCTTCATCCTCATCTTCATCCCTGCCTTGTCCCATCCTCATCCTTGCCGTGTCCTGGTCTTCACCTCCATCCTCATCCTCATCCCCATTTTGTCCCCAAACCCATCCTGTCCCATCCTCGTCCCTGTCCCTGTCCCCATCTTTATCCACATCCCTGTCCCGTTCCCATCCATGTCCCTCACCCCTGGCCATGTCCCCATCCCCATGTCCCTGTGTCCCCATTTCTGTGTCCCTTGGGGTTCCTCTCCCCATCTCCCAATCCTTCTCCCCATGTCACCATGTCCCACGTCATTTCCCTATCCCATCACGTCCCTTGGGGTTCCTCTCCCCATCTCCCAATCCTTCTCCCCATGTCACCATGTCCCACGTCCTTTCCCTGTCCCATCACTGTCCCCCTGTTCCCATTCCCATGTCCCTGTGTCCCCATGTCCCTGTGTCCCCATTTCTGTGTCCCCATGTCCCCATCCCTGTGTCCCCATGTCCCCATGTCCCTGTGTCCCCATGTCCCTGTGTCCCTCTGTGTCCCTGTCCCCATCTCCCAATCCCTCTCCCCCTGTCCCCATCCCCATTGTCCCCGTGTCCCCACCCCCATGTCCCTGTCACCTCAGGGTCTCCTTCACCACAGCACGCAGCAGTGGCAGCCGTCCCAGCGCAGCGGCGGTGGCAGCAGCGGTGGCACCGTCGCTGGTGGCACTGTCACCGCCGGCGGCCCCGCTGGTGGCGGTGGCAGCCACCAGCTGGCGGTGCAGGGCCGCCTGCGCCCCCGGGTTCCGTGCCAGCTCGTACAGGCTCCAGGCCAGCGTGCTGGCCACCTGGGGACACACGGTGACATCAGCGGGACCCAGAGTGACAGCAGGGACACGCCAGCGTCACCCCCTCACCGTGTCCACCCCGGCCAGCAGCAGCTCGGTGACGTTGCCGTAGATGCTGGCGACAGGGACGTGCTCCCGGGCCAGCAGGTCGGTGACACACGTGTCCCCCTCGGCCAGCGGCCCCCGCGCTGCCACCTCGGCCACGCGCCGGTCCACGTGTCCCTTGGCTGGGGACAACGACAGCCATCAGTGCCACCGCGGCCGTGCATTGTCACCGAGTCCCTGTCGGTGTCACCACGGCCACGCGCCATCAGCATGTCCCTTGGGACGTGGCAGGGGACTGTCACGGTCATGGGACATCCCTGTGACCCCACGGGGTGTCTCGGTGTCCCTTGGATGTCCCCATGTCCCCTCTGTCCCCTCACCACGGCCCTGGGATGACCCCCTGTGTCCCCATGTCCCCTCATCTGAAGGTGAGCAGGAATGTCCCCATGGCTGTGGGACATCCCCATGTCCTTCTGGGATGTCCCAGTGTCCCCATACAATGTCCTGGTGTCCTCATGGGAGGTCACCATGGTGTCCCCATGTCCCCCCTGTCTCCATGTCCCTGTGGGATGGCCCATGTCCCCACGGGAGGTCACCATGGTGTCCCCATGTCCTCCTGTCCCCATGTCCCTCACCGAAGGCGCTGTCTCCATGTCCCTGTGGGATGGCCCATGTCCCCACGGGAGGTCACCATGGTGTCCCCATGTCCCCCCTGTCCCCGTGTCCCTCACCGAAGGCAAAGAGCTGGTCCCAGGCGTGGCAGAAGGCGTCCCAGGGCGCGGGGACGAGGCGCAGGAGGGGACGTGGCAGCGCCATTGTCACCAGCGTCAGCGCCAGCACCGTCCCCACGCTCCGGAGCACGGCCTCGGTGGCCGCAGGGGCGTCCCCGGTGTCCCCAGTGTCCCCCAGGCAGCCCAGGCGGGAGGAGAACAGCACCCAGGAGATGGCTGTGGGACAGGGGGACACTGGGACATGGGGACATTGGGGATACAGGGACACTGGGGACATGGGGACACTGAGACATGGGGACACCGGGGATATGGGGACACGGGGAGCGCTGGCAGGGTATTGGGGACCCCGGGGGGTGGAAGGAGACCTGGGGTGCCCATGGGGGGTCCCTGTGGGGGTCCCAGCCCTTTGGGGTTCCCCATCCCTGTTTCAGGGTTCCCCATCCCCTTTGGGATGCCCAAACCCCCTTTTGGGGTGCCCCATTCCCCCTTTGGGATGCCCCATCCCGTTTTGGGGTTCCCCCTCCCCTTTGGGGTGTCCAAACCCCCTTTTGGTGTTCCCCATCCCCCTTTGGGGTTCCCCATCCCTGTTTCAGGGTTCCCCATCCCCTTTGGGATGCCCAAACCCCCTTTTGGGGTGCCCCATTCCCCCTTTGGGATGCCCCACCCCGTTTTGGGGTTCCCCATCCCCTTTGGGATGCCCAAAGCCCCTTTTGGGGTGCCCCATTCCCCCTTTGGGATGCCCCATCCCGTTTTGGGGTTCCCCCTCCCCTTTGGGGTGTCCAAACCCCCTTTTGGTGTTCCCCATCCCCCTTTGGGGTTCCCCATCCCCGTTTAAGGTTCCCCATCCGTTTCGGGGTTCCCCCTCCCCTTTCGGGGTGCCCCCTCCCTTTGGGATGCCCAAACCCCCTTTTCGGGGTTCCCCCTCCCCTTTCCGGGGTTCCCCCCCCTTGGGGTGCCCCTCACCCTCGAGGCCGAAGCGGTTGAACTCGGTGCCGATGTCGCGGACCATGCCCCGCGGGTGTCGCCGCCGCAGCCGCTGCAGCCGCGCCACCAGCTCGGCCACGGCCGCGGCCACCGGGCCCGCGAAGGCCTCGGCGGCCCCCGGGCGGAGCAGCCCCCGCGCCAGCACCCGCCGCGACCCCCGCCACGCCTCGCCCTCCCTGGGGACGGGACAGCGTCACGGGACAGGGGGACAAGGGGGACAGGGAGAGGGTCATGGGGACAGGGGGACAGGGACAGCATCACGGGGACAGGGGGACAAGGGGGACAGGGACAGCGTCACGGGGACAGAGGGACAAGGGGGACAGGGACAGCGTCACGGGGACAGGGGGACAGGGGGACAGGGAGAGGGTCATGGGGACAGGGGGACAAGGGGGACAGGGACAGTGTCACAGGAAGAGAGGGACAGGGGGACAGAGGACGTGGCACAGGATGGGGACATGGGGGACATGAGGGACATGGCAGAGGACAAGATATAAGGGACAAAGGACGTGGCACAGGACAGGGACATGGAGGACAAGGGACAGCGTCACAGGGACAGGGGACACGGTGCAGCAGGAGACACAGGGGAGACAGGGGACATGGCTGGGGGTTGGGGACACAGGTGACACCGGGCACGGAGGGGACACAGGGACATCGGAACATGTGGGAAGAGGGGGACAGGGACACGGGGGATGTGGATGGGGACAGGGGGGACACAGATGGGGACAGGGGTGAAGGACAGGGACGTGGCAGGGACAGAGAACACACAGGGATGTGGGACACAGGTGACAGGCAGGGACACGGGGAAGGACAAGGACACGGGGGGACATGGGGACAGGACACGTGTGGGGTCAGGGACACAGGGTGAGGGACAGGGGACTTGAGTGGGGACGTGGGGCCCCCAGCCCCCCTCAGCCCCCTCCGGCACTCACAGGGTCAGGAGCCCCCCCGGGACCCCCCGCAGGTCCCGGTGCTGCTTCCAGGGGCAGCTGAGGGCGCGCCGGGGCTCGGGGCCCTCCTGCCGCAGCACCTGGGCCACGAGCGCGGGCTCGGCCACGTGAACCGTGAGCACCGGGCCGAAGCGGGCCCGCCACACCGGGCCGAACCGGGACAGGCCGTGGACCTGCGGGGACACGGGGGGGTCACATCGGAACCGGGAGGGGACACGGGGGGGTCGCACCGGACCCGGGGTGGGGGGGTCACACCGGGCTGAACCGGGACCGGCCCGAACCGAGAACCGGGCACGGACCGGCGGGGGGACACGGGGAGTCACACCGGCCTGAACCGGGACCGGGACCGGGCTGTCATCTGCGGGGGACACGGGGGGGGTCACACCGGCCCGAACAGCCCCGCACCGTCCTGAGCTGGGACCGGCACCAGGCGGGGGTGAGGGGGATCGGTGTCCCCGGGGGTCACACCGGCGGTCACACCGGCGGTCACGCGGTGCCGGGGTGCCGCAGGGCACGCGGGGCGGGACAGGAGCAGGGCAGGTCCCGGCGTCCCTGCGCTCCCGGACCTGCCGTGACCCCCCGGGGGTGACCCGACCTCGGTGCCACTGCCCAGCTGGGGGTGGCCCTGTCCCTGTCCCTCTGTGTCCCCCGCCCCGGCGTGACCCCGTCCCCGCTGCCGCTGCTCCGGTCCCGGCACCCCCGAGCCCGGGCTGCTCTGGCCCCCGACCCCACCCACACCCGGGGACAGCGATCCGTGTCCCGTGTCCCCCCCGGGGTGGGAGGACCGCGGCCCCTCCTGTCCCCTCCGAGCCTCGGGGTGGTGGCACTGAGGCCCCTCCAGCCAGGACGGTGACACCGGGGTCCCCATCTCCTCCAACCCCGCCCCAGGGGTCCCCCCAGGCTCCGGAGCCCCCCCGCCTCCTCCAGCCCCGGCTCAGAGACCCCGGGGCTCGCAGAGCCCCCAGCCCCATTTAGAGACTCCAGGGTTCGTGAAGCCCCCAGCCCCATTTAGAGACCCCGGGGTTCCCGGAGCCCCCAGCCCCATTTAGAGACCCCGGGGTTCCCGGAGCCCCCAGCCCCATTTAGCGACCCCGGGGTTCCCGGAGCCCCCAGCCCCATTTAGAGACCCCGGGGTTCCCGGAGCCCCCAGCCCCATTTAGAGACCCCGGGGTTCCCGGAGCCCCCAGCCCCATTTAGCGACCCCGGGGTTCCCGGAGCCCCCAGCCCCATTTACCTGCATCTCGTGCAGCCTCCGCACCCCTCCCCGGCACAGCAGCTCGAAGATGAAGGCGGCGGAGCTCGGCCCCGGCATCTCCGCCAGGCCCCGGGGCCGAGAGCGCTCCGGGGGGTTCCAGGCGGTGCGGGGCGGCGGAGAGGCAGCGGGGGGCACCGGGGGAGGCCGGGGGACCCCCGGCTCGGGCGGGGAGCGGGGCAGGAGGGCGGCCCGGGCGGGCAGGCGCAGGCCGGGGGACATGGCGAGGCACCGGGGCTCGGGGGGCACCGGGGGGAGGGCAGCGGTGGCACCGGGCGGCGGGGACACCGTGGGGACACGGCAGGGCTCGGGGGGACACGGGGAGACCCTGCGGGGCTCGGGGGGTCGCGGGGCCGAGCCTCGACTGCGGGGGGGGCCCCGGGCCGGGGATTTATAGCGCCCACGTGCAGCCGGGCAGGCCCCGCCCCCTCCGGGGGAGCCACGCCCCACAACAACAAACTGGGCTCGAAACCCCGCCCCCTCGTCCTAAGCCACGCCCCCAGTTGAATTATTTGCCAATCAGCGCGCAGCGGGGGCGGCTCCGCGGCCCCGCCCCCAGGGCGCGCACACGCGAGGGCAGAACCGGGAGCGCGCACGGCCCCGAGCCCCCAAAACACCCCGGTGACCCCCAAACCCCAGGTGACACCTCCGGAACACCAACCCCCCTCGGTGACACCCCCAGAACCCCCCCGGGACACCCCCGGCACCCCCCATCCCCAGCGAC